AAAAAAAAAAAAAAAAAAAAAAAAAAAAAAAAAAAAAAAAAGAAAGCGTTCAAAAGTGAGATTGGTAAGAAATAGCTATCAAAAAGCATTTGCTGGGCTGGAGATTTAGCTCAGTGGTACAGCGCTTACCTAGTGTACACAAGGCTCTAGGCTTGATTCTCAGTAACGCGAAACAAAGAAATAGCATTTGCTGTCTGCCACCCAGTCCAACACTTGGAGCCCATGGCTGCCACCACCCCAGGGAGGCCCAGCATCAGACACAGCCTGTGCCTGTCACTTGAGGAAGCTACGCTCTATGACGTCACCGCTGACCTTGAGCCACTACTCCTGGGGGACATACACTTAGGGACCCAAGAGCCCCATCATGCCTTTTGCCACCTGATCAATATACAACCTGGCTGTCCGTGTTTCAGAGAGCCCTGACTGCGTGGGAATCACGGAGTCATTCACACTGAACTCAGAGCCAAGCACAGCTCCTAACCCCGGCCCGAATGAAGCCTGGGGAACATGGCCTCTTCTCCGTTAAGACTCCAGACGGCGCCTCACAATGCTGAGTCACCAGCACTAAGTACAGAAGCATGAAACGTGGGGCTAAGCAGAGTGAGAAAGGGCTGCTTGTTTGCATTCAGGAGCTCAAACAAGGAGGCAGCGTGTCACCTTGCCGGCTGAACCCACAGCTGGGAATGTGCTCTAGGGTGACAAATTCCTCACCACTGCACCCATCCACAGACCACAGGGCGCTGACTCGGGTTACGCGGGCACAGGAGGGAGGAGGCTGCTTCTCACCCGGGCGCACTCCCCTTTCCCGAAGATCTGGGGGATTGTTCCATACAGAGCTTGCAGGGTCATCAGCCCCTTGGCCGCATGGTACAGGCTTGTCTGGTCGCCCTCCAGGTAGCACTCCTGCGGGGAGAAAGGCCAGTCACCTGCTGGGAGCTGCCCAGTGCCTGCCTCTGGTTATGGACAATAAAACTATTTCCTGCTCTGACAGGGACATGAGGACTCCAGTTCTCCAGAACCCACTCTCCCTAAACAGGTGCAGAGAAGTGTGAGCCTGGCCTGAGCTCTTCTTATTTCATCAACTCGCCTTGAAAGCGTGATGAATAAAGAGTGAAGCAGCGACAGGCTTTCTCATTCACTCAGGAGACAGAGGCAGGAGGATCACAAGTTCTAGCTAGCCTGGGGAAGTTAGCAAGACCTTGCTTCAAAATGAAAAATAAACAGGGCTGGGGATGCAGCTCAGTAGTGAAGCACCCTCCCTCAGTAGTGAAGTCCATCCCCAGCACTGCCAGAAAAAGAGAAGTAAGATGTAAAGTGAGAATCACTGGAACTTTTTTTTTTTGTAATCATCATTAAACGCTTCTAGGCCAAAATGGCACCTGGGGCTGGTACTCCAGTGTTGTTTAAGCGCTGCTACTGCCGAGGCCCCAGCACTTAGGGCCAGGGTCTGAGTAAGGTTAAGTGGAGCTCCCGGGCGCTTTGTGCAGGGAGGAGGAAGAAGATGTCTTGAAAAGGACGCCACGGTGAGTGTCACTAAAGCACTGTTGGTGGAACGTGCCCTGACCGTGGCATACCGTGACAGGGTGCCTGAGACATCTTTCTGGCAAAACTACTTAAAACTCCTGATCAAAACAGCTAAAATAAAAATTAAAGGAAGAAAAATATTGGCAAATACTTCTTGAAATAACATTCATGTTTTCTTTTCTACTCTTTTTTTGGTGGCACTGGGCATTGAACCAGCGCCTCTGCATTGAGCTACATCTCAGTCCTTACTTTTGAGACAGGGCTGCACTAATTTGGTTAGGCTGGACTCAAACTTGGATCCTCCTGCTTCAGCTTCCCAGAGTGCTGGGGTCACAGGGGTGTGCCACTAGACTCAGCTTGAAGAGAACATCTTGAACATCAATAAACATGAAATGAGCCTCAGCTTCACGGGATCATGGAATACAAATGAAAACAATATTGAGACACTTCCGAACTCATGCATTTGGCAAAAATTAAAGTCTGAGTCAGGGAAAGGCCAAACTTACTTTGAATGCACCCTCAGACTCCATGGACAGGAGATCCCCATCAAATGGGATGAGATCTAAACTGTACTCTTCCCTGTGGATGAAGGATCCCAAAACACCCAAGTCCTTCAGCCGTTGTTCACACAGCAAGCTACGGCGTGGCACAAACAGAATGTGGAAATCTCTTACTGGGCCACGTCTGTCTTCACTGCAAAGGAAGGAAGATGGATTAGCTTAACTGCTAATCCAGGGTCAGGGACTACTGGCTTATTTTATGCTCACTTCCTACTGCACATCAGATCCTGGACCCTGGTTAAGTAAACAAGAAACGGACTCTCAGTCCCATGTTCAATTTCTTCTACCCGGAAACAGGAAAGCAGCACTGAGTCACAGCCAGTACTCTGTGGCTTTTCTTTTTTTTTTTTTTTACCGGGG